AACAACAAACCAACAAATGCTTCCCAGCTTTTCCAGCACTGGTCACTCTGGATGTAACTTCCAGTCAAAGTGACAGATAGGTCACTGGTCAGACAGACTTCCACGCTGAGTTCAACCAGTGTTTCTCAGACGTCACAGAGTTAGAAGCAGACCTTGAGCTGCTTTGATCTTTGCTTTAGTTTCACAGCAGATGTTCCTGCAGATGTTCAGTTGGAGCTGACTGACATTCAGTGCGACTCTGTTCTCAAGCAGAAGTTCACCACGTCCACACTGGACAGCTTCTACAGCTCACTGAAGGAAACACAGTTTACACACATGTTCAGGCACACACAGGAGGTGTTGGTTTTATTTGGCTCCACTTACATCTGAACAAACATCTGTGAAATGACCCTTTACCCATCTGTGGAATCAGAAGCCAACTTCAGGTGGTCCTCTGGTGTGACCAAGTTGTTCTGAAGTCCTGTCGTCTCCTTTGACAGATTCTTTTATTGTTTCAGTGAAATTATATATTTGCTCCATGTTTGCTAATCACAGTCACTGTATGTCTCTGAAAGATCTTTTTTCCAACTCTGACAGTGATACTTTATTTTGGTAATAAAGTTTTGATCATCTCAAAGCAATGGGCAGCAGTAAGAGCACCACAAAGAGCTGCCTTCTGCCTCCTCAACCGCAGTTTTCAGTTTTTATAAACTCCTTGTTCAACAAAAACATTCTAACTTCAGGATGTATGAGCGTTTCTAACTTTTACAAACTTATCTGTATTCTCAACTCGTGAAAATTTATTCTTACTGTTATGTCAAACACTGCAGACGATGAATGAACAATTGACTCAAAGTTACTCACTGACAAATATGATGATGACACACGCATGTGTTGCAGAGCTAAATTAATGTTTATTATTTAGATGTTATCAACATTTCTAACTTACAGTTGCTGCTAAAACTAGTATAAAAACTAATTTTGTAAATTAAATTTACCAACTAAAATACCTTGTTAAACACCAAATACTACAAAAATACATACATTTTATAATTTCGGAGCCTTTTAGGAACCAAACAGTAATAAATGATGAAAGAGATGTGAGTGTAAACCTGATGATTTAAAGCAGACATATAACTGTCAACAGCAACATTATTTGTGTTCCTGCATAAAGATCAGTCCCATTATTTCCAACATGTTCCACCCAGCTGATGTCCTGGAGGAAAAACTCCTCCAGTTCCTCATGTCTCATGTCAGACTCATCAGTCTTTACTGGACTCTGATGGTTTAATAAACAGGACAGAGGACAGAGAGAGACATGACTGGAATCAAACCAGCAGCTTTGGTTCCTGCAGAAAACACTGAAGACAATAATCAACAAGGACCCCTCCCTTCACCCCCAATGACAGCAGAACAAAGCTGCAGCTACGAGAGACACTGATGAGAAATATTTCATCCCATCAAACAGAGAAGATGAACTGAAGCTCGTAAGTGAAGGAAAAAAGTCCCAACAGGAAGAGTTCAACTGGTTTCTCTTCTAATCTGAACAGAACTGGTCATTTATCAGGATGAAATTATTTTCTTTTTATGTGTCCCGACAGACTTTCTCACTGTGGACTCTCAGAGACTCACTGTGAAGTTGTGGCCTCAGCTCTGAAGTCCAAACCCTCCCATCAGAAAGAACTGGACCTGAGTTTCAATGACCTGCAGGATTCAGGAGTGAAGATTCTGTCTGCTGGACTGGAGAGTCCAAACTGTAGACTGGAGAAGCTAAGGTGATTTAAACGACAATTTGTTTTTCACTAAATACACTTTCTGTTCTTTACTTCAGTTTGATCTTTTTACTTCATTGATTTGGGGGATTTATCTGAGCATAAAACCAAAGATGTGAAAATGTGTCAAAGTGTCTGTGAAGAAATGTGATCATTTGTCTCCGAAGGTCCAAAGTGAAGTCCAGATGTCAGAGGGATGTTGTTCTCAGTTGTGTGTAACTTTGGAAGAAGCAGACAGAATTAGTGTCAGACTGGTTTAGCTTCATATTAGTGTCAGCTGAACTCACGAGTGGATTTGTGTCAGGAACAGAGCGTTCACTTTCAGTGTGAACAGCAGGAGTCACAACTGTTTGATATGATACATGACTGTTGTTGTTGTTGTTGTTGTTGTTGTTGTTGTTGTTGTTGTTGTTGGTGGTGGTGGTGGTGGTGGTGGTGGTGGTGTGTGTGTGTGTGTGTTGTTTGTTTTGATAATTGGACTTTCTCATCAGGAACGAACATTGGAAACAAAAAAACAAAAAACTATTTTATTTAATTTTTGGTTTAAATACAAAAGATTTATTTTAAATTTTAGCACTAAAAAAAGAATAAACAGCTATTTAAAATGATTTGATTTTCTTTTCATGTTTAGAATAATAAAATAATAAAATATGTGACAATAAAAACTAATTTATTTTAATATTTTAATAGTTTTTGTCTGTTTTAAAACAGACTATTAATGATTTAATATTAAATAGGCAGTCCCCATCAAAGTTTCTCCAGGAACTTTCTAGTTTAGTTTAGTGCTGAGATGAATGTGACGTGAAAGTTGTGGTGACACTAAAGTGCCGACATAAGGCTGATATTTTACTGATCCACACTGAGGAGCTTCATGACAAACTCTGTTTTCTTCTTCTGGGCTTTCATTGAACATCAAATATGAAACATTGTGTCATTTACTTGGAAACTCTGACACACTTGATGTTCAGCTCATAGTTCAAGTCATGACTTTCACAATAAAAGCAGAGTTGAAACTAACAGTTATTATTTATTATTACTGAATAAACTTGAATAATTAATGTGAGTGCCACCAGCCCTCACCAGTTCAACACCCAACAAGCTCTTTGTGACGCGACACGTTTCTTCAGAATAAGTCTTGAATCCAATCATTTAGTTTTGTGACTTTTCAAAACAAAAGGAAAGTGACGTCTAAAGACTGAGTTACTCTCGGGTGCAAGACTTCTGCCCTTTAACACACTAACAAACTATTATTCACAGAAATAACTCAAACTGTAAAAATAACACATTTTACATGAAGTTTTCAACTCCTTTGAATAAATGGCTCTTACAATTAAAGTTTAATTTGAAACATTAAAACATCTTTCAGTTGGATCAATGTTTTTCACAGTTCAGAGTCTTTAAAAGTTTTGTTTTGTTTCTAAACTTACACGTTTTATTCTTTATTCAGATTAAGGAGGTGCAGTTTGACAGAGATCAGCTGTTTTTCTCTGAGCTCAGCTCTGAAGTCCAACCCCTCCCATCTGACAGAACTGGACATGAGTCGGAACAAGCTGCAGGATTCAGGAGTGAAGCAGCTGTGTGGTTTTCTGGAGAGTTCAGGATGTAGACTGAAGACTCTGAGGTCAGACATGTTTATCACCTGCTGGTGGAGGAGGAGGGACAATGTTGTTGATGCATGTGTGTGTGTGTTCATTTGTTTTTATTGTTACCAAAATATGCACGGGGAGAACATCTAAACTCCACACAGAAAGACCTCAGGAGGGAAGTGAACCTGCAACCTTCTTTCTGTGAGGCGACAGCTCTAACCGCTGCTCCACTGTGCCGCTCCTTATTCCATGAATCAATAAATGTAATTAACTCAAAGTTTCAGGTAATAATCTGGATGTTCGTCTACAACTGATTAACTTCTGGACTCAACTCGACTCTAAACGGTCTCCACAGTAAAACAATCTTAACAAACACAAAAATGACTCAAACGTTGCCATTTCTCAACTTCAGATGATTTGAATGTAAAACTCTGACATGAAAGGCAGCGGGGGATATTTTTCTCTTTTGCTTGTTCATTTGAAGGTTTCCTGTCTCCTCGTTTGTCAGAATCAATCTGTCACAAACATTCAGACTTCACTGCTTCTGTGTTGTCAAATTTCCCACGGACCTTGAACTAAACTTCTAGTGAAGACTGAAAGAAAGCAGCACACCATGATGTTCTCTTCTGTTCAGAGGATCCTAGACTGTCTTCAGTCACACAAAGAAACATCAGTGCAGCACAAAGAAACATCTGGATTTAGAAAAACTCCATGCAAGAAAAAAAGAGCAGAGTTCTGAAACTACAGCTTTTAGATTTTATATCTCTTTTATTTTAATGCATTGATGGATATTTTTGCTGCAGCTTCTTCCTGAACATGAGCCCAACATGTGGACTTTTAAATGGCTCCATGTTTGTTTTGATAATTGGACTTTCTCATCAGGAACGAACATTGGAAACACAAAAAAAAAACTATTTTATTTCATTTTTGGTTTAAATACAAAAGATTTATTTTAAATTTTAGCACTAAAAAAGAATAAACAGCTATTTAAAATGATTTTATTTTATTTTCATGTTTAGAATAATAAAATATTAAAATATGTGACAATAAAAACTAATTAATGATCAGTTTTTGTCTGTTTTAAAACCAGACGTCGTCAGCAAGAGTTCATCAAAGATCCATGACTAAATGTCAGTGTGAGGAGAAAGTAGTTTAAACTCTGTTCAGAGACATCCATTGCCTGTGATAAATGAACTCTGAGCAACATGCGTCGTTTTCCACAAACAATAAAAGAATGTGTCTCAGAGGAGACGACAGGACTGAAGAAAAACCTGCTCTCACCACAAGACCACCTGAAGTTAGCTTCTGATTCCAGCTGCTAGCTAAAGGGTTATTTCACACAATCTGCTCCATCTTCAGTCAGCTCTGGTTCAAATCTAAAATACTTTTACTTGTCAAACTTGTTCTAAATTATTCTGAATTGAATACAAATACATGAAAACACAGTTTGTCATTTATGAAATCTATATTTATAAAAGTTCAAAAGAGGGTTTCAACGCTCACACCTAACAGGAAAATAGATGTGAGAAATTCTGAAGTGTGTTTTGAAGCAGGTCCAATGTCTGTAAAAAGTCTGATCCAGAGTCCAGTCTAAGTGTTGTTCCTGGAATGAAAGGCGGCGGGCGATATGCATTCCTTCAAGGAATGCTAGTTCTTTATTTAGTTTAGTGCTGAGATGAATGTGATGTGAAAGTTGTGGTGACACTAAAGTGCCGACATAAGGCTGATATTTTACTGATCCACACTGAGGAGCTTCATGACAAACTCTGTTTTCTTCTTCTGGGCTTTCATTGAACATCAAATATGAAACATTGTGTCATTTACTTGGAAACTCTGACACACTTGATGTTCAGCTCTGTATTGTGAAATTCTTTATCAAAAGGGCTCGTGAACGGTCGGCACAGATATTCAGACAAGATGGAAAAAATAAAACACAGAGGCTGTTACTGCTAGGAATAATAAGTGTCATTTATTAACCTGCCACAGAAAACAGCCAAGCAGAAAACATGTACACTCGTACACTCTTAACACACAAAATGATATGAAAGAACTTCTCACCGTGACACTGGCCGGGAAGTCGTTTTCGACCCAGGTAAAGAAGAATCACATCAAAATTGCGCATGGCACCAGCGCGTGCTGGTCCACGCAAGACTTCCGACTCTCTGTGTTTGATACATTTCTTATATACCTTTCCCTGACCGGATCGCGTGAGAGCAGTGGAAAACAAGTTTGATGGTTGCCAGGAAAAACAGATTTAATTAAATCTGTTTTTCCTTCATCAAAGCAGTCTGTGCAACAGAGCGATGGTTTCATAAAAACATGTCCTTCAAAACCTGGGTCACTGTAACCTTAAGATTGGGCCCGATCTTCTGGTTAGAGCATCCCCCAGAGAACTTTAATTACTCCAAAACACATCTGCAGCACAGGCCTGACTTTAAGCAAGATAAGCTGCATCAAAAGTGAGTATAAGTGTGTTTTCAAATTACATGTAAATGAGTATAAATTGACATAAAAGCATCAAAATAATCATTCCTATATCATTCCACCCTTGCCTTTTATGGCAATTTAGACATTTAATTCTGAAAAGTAACACACACAAAATGTATATGTTTGAATAGGCATAAAGGCAACTTAACACCTTATAAAACATATTTTTATATCAAGCTCATAGTTCAAGTCACGACTTTCACAATAAAAGCAGAGCTGAAACTAACACTTATTATTTATTATTACTGAATAAACTTGAATAATTAATGTGAGTGCCACCAGCCCTCACTAGTTCAACACCCAACAAGCTCTTTGTGACGCGACACGTTTCTTCAGAATAAGTCTTGAATCCAGTC